GTGAATATGTCCGACATCCACGATCAAAGCAAGTGCTGCTTTCTGCGTCATGGCTTCTTGGAAAGAAAGGGACGCCGTCCAGATACCCCCTAACCACTTAGACTGAAAAGACAAGGGGCGATGAACATCTTGGCGCGGCAGTGTCAGCACAGACTGGGCCTGCTCCTGTTGAGGCAGGGCATTTACATGGCCACTGTTTCGGATTCCGCATTTCCCGGGTAAGTGGCACTGTGAAAAAAAATGGGGCAGAGTACTCAGGCAATACAGCACTGTCTTAGATCGCTCGCGACGCTGGCGTTACAAGGCTGTGAGGACCACAGCTCTGCAGCCGCTCTTTCTGTTGCTGCTCTCGAGGCTTCGACCGTGCTGTTGAATACATTAGCGGGCGCAGCACGTGACATCTGGATTAGTGGCGGCAGTGCTACGGGGCATCCGCAGAAGTCTACAAGCCTGGCAGGAATGATAGCATCCGGCTGCCCAGAGGATGCTGCTGACTTAGGACATGAGTTAAGCCTTGTTGATAACAATTCGGCTCTTCTGCAGAGGACATTGAGACTACTAGATCGCCTGCGGGTCTTGGGTCTTGTTAGACCAAGCTCGCTCCCTCCCCCAATCTGACACGAGCAGCCTCGACCAGCCCCGTCATCGCAGATTGGTCTACCTCCCGCGCCATGCCCCCCGACCTCCTCCCTAGGCGATCTTCACCTGCAATGATGAGGCATGGAACGATGTAGTTTGGGCTTTGCAACGATGGGCAAGACCTGCGGCAAGCAAACACAAGCCCATGCTGACGTGCTGAATTTCCGGTGGATTTTCATCGCGGCCCAGATGGGACTGACACAAGACGTGTTGCTTACAAAATGATGGTCTTGCAGCAATGTGCGAAATCACGTCCTGCCGTGTCAAAGTGGCTTCGTAAGAGGAGTGGAGGACGCCTGGTTACCCCTACACGAAACCTGCGCAGAAGCTATGGAGCAGAAAAGGCTTTTCTGGCTCGTCACGGGTGATTTTGAGAAGGCACAGTGTCGACAGTCTGCTCCTTTGCAACTCCATCCTGCAAGATGATTCAGCTCTCATCTGGCACAGTGGCTTAACACAGCAAGTCGTGATGAGCGGCATCCGGTATTGGGACCTTTTGCATACCCTTGCCTACTTCACTCCTTGGTCAGAGAGCTTCTTGCTAAGGAATGCGGCGTAGGGGTAGATATCATATCAAGGTGCATGAAATGGCGCAGTCTTGCTTGCCCCAATGTAGTCAGTTTTTTGAAGCGGATCATTCTTCAAGGAGGCTTGCTACCAGGCAGAGGCCTTGGCTGCGAATCCAATCTTAGAAGCTACACATCCTGGCTAACTTGGCCTGGAAACACGGTGCCTCCTTCCATGTTGGGGAACATATTGGGGAGCTGCACTACTGGACGCGTCACCTGTTGTAAGTGCGACTTCAATGCGAATAAGGAAATGCTCACCACAACCCACTTCCTGCAATTCGGAATTGGACAGCAGTCCACGCCGCCGCAACCTATGCCATATGCTGCTGTGGATAAACATATCAACAACAAGAAGAGGGCTCCCTGAAACCAGGTCCATGGCCCTACGATGACCGCGCGTGTCACGCCTGGTGGCATGTGGTAGACTACTCATCATCTGTTGCGGGTAACGACACAGGAGGATTACCAAAAGAAACTTGAAGAGGGCGAAGCCGGTGCGACCTAGAAAGACCTCGTAAGCACGCTGCCTTGGCCTGGAGGGGGTGCTCACACACATGATCAGGCTGACTGTTCATGTTCCCCAGCGCGTAGAGAAAGATCATCTACTCGGACAGATAATTCCTGGATCTTGTTGATGTCTCGCGCCAAGGCTTCGAGCTCCTGTGTCCATTCTGCATCACGTTGCAATCCTTCTGGTGGGAAAGACAAAACAGCCCAGTGAAGAGTTGCCCGTCTTCAAGGCTAATGTCGGCCCACATCCTGCACTCATTTCCAACATCCTGCCGGACTGCAGAACGTTGGGCCGAGCTGGTTCTTGAGATTGCTGTGCTTGCACAACTGCGAGCTAGTTTAGCAAGTCACCAGTTGCAAGTGGCTCGGTCGACTGCTGCTCTTCGGCAAAGTTCGGAGGGTCTAGTCCGGTCGCCTCCCCGGACCGCTTGGCTGGAAAGACAAAAGTGTCTGTCTCAGCAATCGAACCTGTCGGGTCCCACAAACGACTGCAAAAATGCAAAGTCAGCTTGGGTGGCGTTTGACACTGCGTGTCTTAAAGACACCGTCAGCAACAAAGCGCTGATCCGACACTGCCTAGCCAAATCCCGGGCACAAAAGCTGCACGACTGCTGCACGACCCTTGGTCGGGTGAGGCTTACGGAAAAGCACCGTTTCGCCAAAGCGGCAAAGAAAGCCGGCGTACTTCTTGCGCCAGCGGTCGCTCGAAAGCTGTAGCGCCTTCCGCGTTGCAAAGGTAACGGTTGACAAGTCGACGTCGTAGCGCTCCAAGACTTCAAGGCGTAAGGCTTCGATCTGTCCATACAAAGTGGCCTGCATGTTACCGACAAGGGTTGAACGAAAAGAAAGTCCGCCGACTTCACCGGTCACAGAAGTTGCAATTGCAATGGCGCGGAGGGCGGGCTCAGGATCACACTGCAACACACCAAAGGTTCGACCGGTCTCAAGCGCAAAGCGATGCAACTCGGCCTGCGAGTAAGGTGCGCCTGCGCGCCTTGGTGGGAATCACAAAAGAAAGCGCCATGCCCGAAAGGACGTCGACAACATTCAAGATCGTGATCTGTTCCTCACCAGGCTGTCGCCAAGAAAGCTAAAGTCCATCCGCAGAACAGGCTGCTTCAAGGAAAGTCTGCGGCTCTTGGCCTGCTTGCTCTTGGCACGCACGCTCACACCAAGGTTGAAATTGGCTTATAAAAGGCAAGCGCGTCAACTCGGCCGGGTTGTTTCAAGCCGTGCGGGCGACGTGCAACATAGTCAGGAGGTTCTTGCTCACACAAGTCTGCCTTCTCAAAGCAAGTCGCGCCAACAAAAGGTGCGCTGACCAATGTAGCGCCGTTCTTGTGCCAAACGTCAGCACGCCAAAATGGCGCTGCCTCTGTGTCTGGGCGCACAACTATAAAGTCACGCGACCATTGCCAAGCTGCTCTTCAAAGTGAGAGTCTTCAGGCACAAGAAGTGTACTCCTTGTCTCGTAGTGCACATGCACCCAGCAAGGCGGAAAGTCAAGCCACAAGTCGCGCGTGCACGGCTGTCCTGTAGAGGTTCTCTAAGAGCTGCTCAAGCAAAGCGTTTTTCGTCTCCCAACGTTCCTGAAGACGTCTGCTCCAAGCGCAGACGAAAAGTGTCCTCGGCGCTATGCTCCGTGGCCACTCTGGGGCTGCTTGAAAAGTGGTTGCGGGGCCTCTACCGACAGTTCTTGCGGTTGTTGTTGTTGAGGTTGTGGCTTCAAAGGGCTGGCTCAGGTAAAGTTGTCTGTTTCCCAACCGGATCCCAACCAGCTTACAACCAGTGGGAAGTGAGTTCGAAAACAGTTCTTTCAACAAAGCGTTCTGGAGAAGGTCCAATAGGGCTCTCTGCCTTACGCCAGTTGTCTGCCCAAGTTTCTTTTCTGCCATCAGCGTACTCAAAGTAAGTTACGCGTTCATCTGCAAGGTCTTTTAAGTCCGGGGCGATCCTTAGTCCTTTCGGAAGAAAAGAAAGTAGCTCTCGCTCCTTTATGTATGCGGGTCAAGGTGTTACCCGAGAGCTCCCACTTATCAACGTGACACTGAACCAAAGACGTACCCTGTGCACTCGTGTTGCGACAAGTGTTGCACACGACCTCAAACTCTTCCTTGTTGAAAGGTGCCAAAGTGGGCCTCAAGACCAGGAGTGAGCCATGCCCAACGATGGGCACCTTGTGTCCAGCAGGTGTCAAAAGCGCGCTCGGATTCCGAGAAGAGAGGCTCGCATCAAATCCTGATCTCAACAGACTACCGACCGATACTAGAGAGTAGGGAACGTCGCAAACGTAGAAGTGTAGAAAGCAGGGCTGGCCCTCAAAGTCAACCTTCACGAGTCTCCTACCAAAGATCGTCAAAGGTTGCCCTGAAATGCTCCGCAAAGGTGGAGCCTTACCCGCCTGTAAGTGGCAAAAGCGGCCACTCCGAAGCAAAGTCCTTCGGACAACACTGTGTGGCAGCTCCTGCGTCGAAAAGTATCCAGGGGTCCGTATCCTCCAAGCTCCAAAGCAACATGGTTGAAAGCCGTATTCAAATTCTTAAGACCGAGATCACCAACGCCGAAAAGTCGTTGGGTCTCATCCGTGCGACCATTCAAGGAGAAAGTCTCAAGCGGGGCCATCAGGGCCGGAGGTACAATGTCAGAAGGCTCACCGAAACCACCAAAGTTCAAGTCTACAACTCCAAAGTCACAGCAGACACGGGCAAAGTTGCCGTGCCGCTCGAGGCTCGAGGAGGAAGCCTCCTCCTTGGGTTTCTGGGTCAAAGTTTCGGGCTTCGTCGAAGAGGCGCTCCGTCGGCCAAGGCTCCGAAGGAAAGTCCGAAGACCAACCCCCAAGGATCCCACGAAGTATCCCAGGACCAAGCATCCCAAGACCAAAGTGGGTCGACCCAAGTCTGATCCCAACTGTTGTTGTCGTTGTAGTTGCAAAGTTCGGCTACTGCATTGATTGCCCAGTCGGTCCAATCAGACCAATCATCAGCCTCAGTTCCAAAGTTGGTCCTCGCCTTCAAGTGTTGAAACACGGTACGTGAAACAGTTGCTCGCAAAGTGTGGTGCTTTACCACGCGACCAGCAAGCCGAAGCAGAGCTGGAAGTGCCTTTTCCTCCTTTTCTTTTTCCTGTCCCTTTTCCTTTTGCAAAGCTCCCATGTTGATTTCCTTTTCCTTGCGACTTCGAAAGGTCCTTTCCCCTTCCTTTTCCTTTTCCTCCTTTCTTTCCTTTTCATGTTCCTTTTCCTTTTCCTTCCCACAAAGCTGGCGCTAAACCACCAATGTCCATGGGAGCCGAAGCTCCACCTTGGAAAGTTGCATTCGCCGAAGTTTGTGCAACTGGGTTCATCAAAAGTAGCGATCGATTGTAATTACTCAAGAATAACCTCCCGCACCTGTGCATATGCTTGCAAAGTTCGAGCCTTCAATCTCAAGTGTTGTTGCAGAACTCCCGTTGTCTTGTTCAGCATAGTTGCTACAAGTACACCATCAGGTAAAGGTACACTTGCCTGTCGTTCATATGTCGTCTTGATCGTTTCCAAAACATTGAAGTCCTGTTCAAAGGTCGCTGGGTTCAACTTGAAGTGCAACAGCTGTGTCAAAAGTAAAATGCTCCTCGTAGCTCCTGGCAGCGAGAACTTCTTGAAAAGTCTCCTCCGAGTCTCAACGCCATTGCTGTCTTCATTCTGCCGAACGATAAGTTTTGCCGACTCTTTCACATGTTGAAAAATCAAATAATGTAGCTTCCGGGAGAAAAGTACTCGGGCTGCGGTTTGCTCGGCATCGACATCACCAAAAGGGCACCAACATGCTCATCCATAAATTTATCATTCCTAGCTTCTGCCCTGTCTAGCAAAGTGACATCACTTGTCTCGAACATCGACATGTAGGCCTTAACGTTCCAGGCCCATTCTTCCCAGTCGGCGGGATTGCCGCTGAAAGTCTTAGGCAAGGGAAGCCGAAGCCTTCCTGTAAAGCCTGCTTCGCCTCCTAAGGCCTTTTCTTCTCACCAAAGTTCCTTGGAGCTTTCAGCTCCGCTACCATGCGAAAGTACAACGTCCACTGATAGCACACAAACACTACCGTAAAATACTGCGTGCACTGCTCAGTCAACCTCAGATCAAAGTAACCGTGAAAGTCACACAGCACCTCTTTCCGGGGATAGCGCAAAGTGCTCATGATCTTGAGCCACAGAGTGGCAAAGTCGGGGAATGTGGATAACGTGCTATTTTCACACATACATACATACATACATACATACATACATACACTACATTACATTACATTACA